AGCACAAATCTGCTTATGAACTATAAAAATTAGTAAGACTGCTGAAGCACAAATGAAATATTTAGGTCTGTAATTAGTGGATTTGTGCTTCAGTGGGCTGGTGCCACCACTGGAAATTATATTTATACAAAAAACTAAAGACAACCCAGGTCCTACAAACTTGGACTTTGTATAAAATTAGGTAAAGTCAGATGAACAAATCAAGCCCATATTTTCTTCACAAAGGAACATGATGCTTCAGAACTTTGTGCTGGATGTAAAGGACACACTGGATGTAAAGGACACACTGGATGTAAAGGACACACTGGATGTAAAGGACACATTTTGAACCCCTCCCTGCTCTTGTTTCTGCTGCAGACGATCCGGTTCCTCTGAGACGTCACCAGAAACGAAGGAGCCAGGCCGAGCCCCTGAGAAGAGTTTTACTGAGCACTCAGATGAAGGTAGGGTCTGTGGGACACAGCAGAGTCCACTCTGTCCCGTCTGCCTCCTGTCACCCTCCTGTCCTCCACAGAACCAGTTTGCTGCTTTGACTGTGCCAAAGAAAGAGCAGTCCCAGATCGAAGGGCCCAGCTTAACCAACTCCTACGGCTTCAAGGTCAGCATGCAGAACCTGCAGGAGGCCAAAGCTCTGCACGAGGTGAGCTGCTCTTCAGGTAGCATCATGTGCAGCTTCTGTGCTCAGGTTTACATGTGGAGGAGGTTGTGCAGCGTCTCACAGCCCATCTGTTGGTGCTGCACTGAGAACCACTCTCAGCTGCAGCCACGTCAGACATAAACCACTGGACACATCTAAAGCTTGTGTCTCCAGGTTCAGCACCTCACTCTGATGGGGCTGGAGCTCCACGCAAGAAGTCGCCGTGACCTGGAGCCCGACCCAGAGTTCGACCCCATCTGTGCCTTATTTTACTGCTTCAGTTCCGACACGCCGCTCCCAGACGTAGACACCACCCGGCTGACCGGCGCCATCGTGGTGGACAAGAACCATGAGAGCTGTGGCTCAGGTGAAGTTTGACCTGAGCTTTAGGATCAGCTGGAGGAATCATCCTTTGTAATTAAATGTGTTGAACACTGAACGACTGCTGACAGTTAAAGATGTTATAGTGAAATAAGCAGAACACAGACTAAAGTTAAAATGAGTATTTTCAGGTTGTTTTTAAAGGATTAAAGTGTTTGAATGTGAAAATGTAAAGTGTCTTTGAGGGTCTCGAAAAGTGCTATGNATAGCTTAGTTATGAGAAGTGTGAGATAAGTTATTTGCATAAATAACTCATCCCTTACACATAATTAGAAAAAATATTGCTCTATAAACTTATGAAGGCATGTTGTGTTTCTAGAGAAAAATACACCTCAAACACGTTTTGCTAAAATACCACATAAATCTATGATGTGTTGAACTTGTCAAGACATCTTGCATATCATTCGGACGTTTCAAGTTGCAAAGTCAATATATCTGAAATAGAAAAACAACATATGGAGATGAAAATAATGTTCCAGATATCTGTAATTCACTTGGTAATATCTTCAAAGAAAATATGACCAGTCAAAAACACTGTTCCAGATATCTCTAAGTTGGTTTTGCCAAGTCAATATTTGCTTTCAAGATATTTGAAATTTAATTTGCACTAGTCAAATCTTAGATATGTGATATCTGAACATGCATTTAATATATTTTAAATTGAACCAATGACTAGTCAGAACAATAGGCAATATACTCTTTAGATACAAATAGAAGATACAAATAGATAAAAATAGATACAAATCAGTGGATGCATAGTTTACCAAACTGAGACAGTAAATTGACAACAAAATGTATGGAATTCATTTTTATCTGCTTTGTCCCACAACGTTGAAAAGATGATTTAAACCAAAYCAATTACTGTGGAATTGGCCTTCAAATTTAAAGGGCACCTATTATGCAAAACTCACTTATTTCATGTTTTTCAACTTGCTATGTATATATAATATATATAGACTTGACTGTGTGTGTTCTAAATGGGTAAAAATTGAAACTTGTAAATCAAGTTAGAAATATTTCTTCCTAATGTACCGGACAAAACAATAAACACAACATTTAACTAGAAAGTAGCCCAACTCAAATTTAGTTAATAAGCTAACTGTCTAAAATTAATTTGAAGAAAAGCAACAATAACGAGATTTGGGGTTTTTATAATAAGAAAAGAACTTTTTGCACAACTCAGGTTAAGCTAAATAGGCCCTGCCTATTTAAAATGGTTAGCTACTGTATGTTTATAACGTCAAGCTTTATGCTGAAAAGATAATTAAATCAAGCCAGTAATTTTGGAATTGGCCTTCATATTTAAGGTAAAACCTGTTTTAAAAACAGAAAAAACACATGTCATTAATCAAAGCCATTTGCAGCAATAATGTCTTATCAAAATCCCCAAATGTTATAAGAAAAAGCTGACAAACATTCATACATGTATAACTACCTAATTAAATTCAGTGCTGTTTATTGAAAATACTTGATATTTCCAACAGATAAAATTAACACATGCACTTGGAAAAATGGCGCTACCGTATGGCCGTTGGGACATACTTTTGTTCCACCGGCACATCATTATATTGAAGAAAGTTTAAAAAACTAAAAATGTAAACTTTTAAAATTGATAGAGTTTGATTTAAATAGGATATGCCAAGG